AGGGACAGACAGGAAACCTCAACTCATCCTGGATATTATTCCCAGCCACTGATGACAATGACAAAGAGGACATCATGGCTGTAAGTGACAACAAGGCTTAGCATACAGCACAGTGAGCAATGACCCCTTGCCAATGATCCGGGCCCCTTCCCCCCTGATGACAGCATCAGGGGCTCGGTGACACTTGAGATCCATCTGGGGGACGATGGTCGGGTCTGGGTGGTGGGGAGCAAGTCTTGGATCTCTTGGCTGTGGTTTAGCTCCTTTCATTGTTCAGTTTTGGAGGCATGGGGATGAGTAACAGTTCCTGTAACTCTTAAGCTGCTCAAATATTTCTTGGGACCGTCTCAAACCATTCCTTAGGGCACATGTGACTTGGAGGCTGGTCCCACAGAGGGATGGATTCGGCAGTAAATCACTCAAATGCCTGGCTGCCTGGAGCCCGCACACCGCTGTGATGAGTCTGGCTCCCCGGCTCCTCCTTCTTATCCTCAGTAGCTCCGTCTTCTTGACTTGTTTGTCAGTTCTTCAACTCCTCGCTAGTTCTGTCCTCCCGGGCCCTCACTCAATTCTTCAATTCCTTCTAGAAGAGAGAAGCAAGGCTTTGAGATGGTTCCTACCTCTCCAGCCCTGGGTGTGTGATCACACAGGGATGGGCAGACTTGTGTACGTGTTTGCTCCTCTCTCTCCTCTCATTTTCCCCAGGCAGTTTGGTGAGACATGGTAGGCTATGACTTTATGGCATTTCAAAGGTGCTGAGAGTCTGAAACATAAGTCTGAGTCCAGCCCAAGGGCTGCCCACCAGGGTCCACTGTAACTCTAGAAGTTTTGCTTGTTGGGACTCCTGTACCAGTCATCTGCCCACGTTTCTGACGTAGCGTGGAGTGAAGCAGCTGATCACAGGTCTTAGAGAAAGGCGGGCATGGAGGCCGAGTCCAGCCTGGACAGGTGACTTTGCCTCTCGGAGCCTTAGTTTCCCCATCTGTCACATGAAGGGTAAGTATTGACGTCCGTGGTAGTTAGAGGAGAGCTAAAGAGGCGTGATGCGGACTGTCTGGCACTCAATAAGGATGGGGCAGTTGCTCTCCATCGTTAGTATTTTACTCTTTCAGAGAAAAAGAGCAGTTTCCTTCAGGGAGAAGACTGGAGTGGGACAGGGTGAGAGGTGGGTGTCAGAATCACAGAGGCTTGGCACTTCCCTAGCAGTCCAGTGGTTAAGCCTTCACCTTCCAACGCTGGGCGTGTGGGTTCGATCCCTGGTCGGGGAGCTGAATTCCCACATGCCTCCTGGCCAAAAAAACCCCAAAGGTAAAACAGAAGCAATATTGTAACAAAAATAAAGACTTTAAAAATGGTCCACATTAAAAAGAAAAAAAAACAAGAATCAGGGAGGCAGAGACTAGGATGCGTTTAAGCAGTGGGATGTGAGGAAGGGTAAGGAAGGCCTATGGGTGGGAAGGGGCCACCTTTCTTGGACCAGCCAAGTGTCTAGAGCCACAGGTTTTGATCCAGCCCCTCAGCTGGTCTTGGATCCCAATGTGGACACAGGAGACAGGCCTGGATGCCTAAGCCAAGTCGGAGAGTGGTGGGAGGGGCCATAACAGTGCATGCCTCCTGCAAGTGGACGGGCCAGACCCACGATGCTCTCCATAGCAAACATGTGGTATGCTCGGAAACAAATAACCCCACTGAGACCGCTCTTTCTGGAAACAGGGGAAAAATGTGGATTATCTTGAGTTCAAAAATGTGGGCTCCCAGGCGGCCTATAAAGTCAAGGTAGTGGGATAGAAGCTGATTGATGAGTGTGGTTATGTTTTCTCTGGCCTTTCTGTGTTCACGCTCGGTGCTGTAAGGCCCCTTCACTTGGGTGACCATGGTTACATTCTTGGGGAGCACTGAACACCCGGAGGGGCTCAGTAGGGCCGTCCTGAATGCTGGGTGCCTGCCAAAGGCTCCTTTCCATGGTAAGGGGAAGGGCGAGAGAGAGGCTTTGCCGTGATGATTGCAGACAAGTTCCCTCGCCTCCTTCTATGTCTCCAAGGGACCCCGGAAGTGCTTCTAGAGGTGGGGGGCTGAAAGAACCACTGGAGGTCATCTTGTCAGCCTCCTTCCACCTGCAAGAATCCTACAGATGGGGAAATGAGCCAGAGAAGGCAGGGGCCTCGCTTGAGGTCACCAGGCTGTGTGGGGACTCAGATCCATGGTCCCATGGTTCTGGCAATCTGCTTGAGAAGCGTCTTGCTTTCTGTGGGTCCTGTCTGCTCTCAGCTCCTCTGGGGAGAAGGCCTATGGCTTCTTGGAATCTATAAGCTTGATGCTCTGAACTTGTGCTGCTGTGACTTTTCTGAAAGGCAGACTGGAGCAGGTTGCTTCCCAAAGGGCCATCTTCAGCAGCTCCAGGGCCTCTGCAGAGACCCCCACGTGTGCCCTTTGTAAGACACGTGAGGCCCTGCAAGAGCCGGCCTCTGTCCTCTCCTCCGCCATTCCTCTCCAGTCACACGGGCTAGCAGGGGGTCTCTCGCGTCCTCTGCCTTCGCACATGCTGTTCCTGCTCCTCAAATGCCCTTCCCTCTTGTTCTCGAAGGCTTCTCAGGCTATCCCCGTGGCCTCCTCTGACCCTTTAGACTCAGCCACTCCTTCCTCTGAGCTCCCAGAGCTCTCGATCACTCCCCTATTAGCACTTATCTCATTGACTCAGAATGATTTGTTTACATGTCTCTTCTCCCCAGGGTAGGAGGCGTGCCTTCCACATCTGTATGTCCTCCTTCCCCCAGCAGTGCCTAGCAGAGTGCCGGAAACCCAGCCTGGGCTCAGCCGGTGTACGTGGAGTGAATGGCCGAGGGACGTGTGTGTCCTCAAAGGTCCCCCTGCACGCGGCCTGGAACGTCACCAGCTCCTGTGAGCTGTGCCTGGCTCCTGGCTCCTGTCCCCCTTTGCCTTCCACAGCTGGGGCCTCTCTTCTCCCTCCAACAGCTGGCCCAGCCCTGCCCAGACTCGGTGGGGGGGAGCCACAGGCTAGCCCAGGGAGATTTAAAGAGCCCATGCTCGGAAGTGCAGGTGACTCAACCTCCTGTGAGCTTGACCACGAGTTCTGTTGTCACCTGGCTCTAGACTCTTGGTTCCCACCACATCCATGAGACAGGCAGCTCCCCAGAGACCATTTTCCCCAGAACTTAGTCCTTCTTATGAAGGAGTCTAGAAGTAAGTCCTCCTGGCCTAGCCCTATTCTAGAACTGAGTCCTCCTGGCCTAGCCCTGGTCTAGAACTGAGTCCTCCTGGCCTAGCCCTGGTCTAGAACTGAGTCCTCCTGGCTTAGCCCCAGTCTAGAACTGAGTCCTCCTGGTCTAGCCCTAGTCTAGAATTGAGTTCTCTTGGTCTAGTCCTAGTCTATAACTGAGTCCTTCTGATCTGGTCCTAGTCTAGAACTGAATCCTCCTGGTCTAGCCCTAGTATTGAACTGAGTCCTCCTGGTCTGGTCCTAATCTCTAACTGAGTCCTCCTGATCTGGTCCTAGTCTAGAACTGAATCCTCCTGGTCTAGCCCTAGTATTGAACTGAGTCCTCCTGGTATAGCCCTAGTATTGAACAGAATCCTCCTGGTCTAGTCCTAGTCTAGAACTGAGTCCCTGAGGATATGTGTCCCTTTCCTCCCCATGGCCAGGGCCCAGACACTGGGCCTCTCTGATATTCGCTGACCCATTTAGGTGGCAAACCTTCCCTGGGTGCCTAGCATGTGCAGGTACGGGGTCTGCTGCCGCAGAGCTCACAGTGGGGATGGGAGGACCAGTGATGACACTGGTGATGCTGGGTGGGCAGTGCTAGGACAAGAGGTCAGACAGGGGGCCCTGGAGTCACAGGGCAAGGTGCTGAAGTAACCTCAGAGGTGGGATCTGAGCTGAGATGGAGGGGGCAAGGAGATGTTATGAGGAGAAGGTGCGGGGGTGCTTCTTTCTGGTTGAGGGCTCCGGAGGGGCAGGGTCTGGAGAAATCTACCACCACGCCGCACCTACAGACCAGAACCTTCAGTCGTGTCCCTGGGACTGGCTGTGCCTGTCCTGGGAGCATGATGTTCTCGAGGGAGGGACTGAAAAGTGAGAGGACTGTGGCTGCCTCCCGTGGTGCTCCAAACCAGGCAAGCCTACGAGGCGGTTTCTTCTTTATTTTGTTGTTTAGTTGCTAAGTGGTGTTCGACTCTTTTCAACCCCATGGACTATAGCCTGCCAGGCTCCTCTGTCCATGGAATTTCCCAGGCAAGAATACTGGAGTGGGTGGCTGTTTCCTTCTGCAGGGGATCTTTCTGACCCAGGGGTTGAACCCAGGTCTCCTGCAATGGCAGGCAGATTCTCTGCCACTGAGCCACCTGGGAAGTCCCTCTTTTTTATTTATTCAGTCGATACTGAGTGAGTCCCCACCATGAGCCAGGGACTGGGCTGGGAACTGGGGTTGGGGGCGGGAGTCTGATCTGGGGAACCAAGATGCATTCCTGCCCTCAAAGGTCTCATGGGCCAGTCAGGAGAGAGGCATAGAAGGAAGTCACGAGAACACAGCGCGGGGTTAGCGGTGCTGGGGCCCCAACTCTCTCCAGGTGGTGGGAGGGAGCCCCTTCTGGGAAAGGATGGCCATAGGGACCCAGATAGCACCAAGAGCATCTCACCTGTGTCCCGGAACCCTCACATGGGAGCCAGTGAGAGCGGTGGGCAGAGGGAAAGCCCCACCCCCTGAAGTCATCAGGTGACCTATGGACAATGTCATCGCGCCTAGCAGAGGTAGCAGAGACCCGNCCGTGACCCTGAACGGGGTGGGCTCTAGGACCCGCCTCGGGCTCCCAGCAGGGGGACCCCGCCGCAAACCCAGGTCCCGCGCGCACCGGCCGCGGCGCGACGGAGCGAGGGGCTGGCTGCTGCGCTCGCCGGGTGGCCGCTGGGTGCACCAGGGCAGTCGCGCTCCCCAGGACCCGCGCGCCTCCACCGCGGCAGCCGCAGCCCCGCGGCCGCGCTCAGCATGAGGCCCCGGGCGCCGCTCCTGCGGCTGCTGCTGGCGGTCTCCGCGGCCGCCGCGGCGATGGTCAACGAGCCCGGGACGGCGTTGTCCCCTACCACGGGGGGCGCCACCCTGGCCATCGTCTTCGACGTCACCGGCTCCATGTGGGACGACCTGATGCAGGTGTTGGACGGCGCCTCGCGCATTCTGGAGCGCAGCCTGAGTCGCGGCAGCCGGGTCATCGCCAACTACGCGCTGGTGCCCTTCCACGACCCAGGTAGCGCCCCCCGCGCCCCCGGCCTGGCGCCCTGGCGCCGTGCGCTCACCCGCCGGCTCTGCGCCCGGGGCGCACTGAATGCTCGCCGGCGGCACTGCGGCCCGGCACGGGCGCCTTCTCCACATGTCCACTCTGCTCGAGCCCCGGCACCTGGGCAGGCCTCGCAGCCGTCCCGTCCTCCCCGCCCCACAACCCCGAACCTGCTCTCCCCTTCTCCCGCGCCTCCCCGCCCGCGTCGTCGGGCGGGTGACAGAGAGGCAGGCGCACTGCCTTCAAAAGCCGCGCGGTCACCTCCCGGCTGCGCGACTTCAGCAAATGACCTGCCTCCCGGAGCATCACAGGGTGAGAACTGCTTCCCAGGCTCGCTGAGATGTTGAATTGGGGCCTCGGTGTCCAGGGCCTGGCACGTGCGCGCCTCCGCTGGGTTTGCGGGTTTGCCTTGTGTTAAGACTTTGCTCCCATTGTGGGATTCAGGGGCTAAACGCTGCATATCGGCCCTCACCTGTTCTCCAGAGAAAAACAGCGGCCAGGCGGCCTCCACCCAGCTTGTTTTCACTGCCAGGCCCTTACCTAACCCTCTCTCCCCTGCAAGCAGCACCTCGCCCCCTACAGCCCCCCACCTTTCATCTCAGTGTTAAGGCCATGCCCTGGAAAGAGCTCCTGGGAGACCCCACTGTGAGGAGTTTCAAGGAAAACAGCTGTGGATCGGTGGGCTCAGACCCCCAACCTTGTGAATGGCAGGGCTGCTTGTTCTCAACATTTTTAGTGAAAAACTTCAGACTTACAGCAACATAGGGAGAAAAAAAATACATGAACACCTGTCTGCCCACCACTCAGATCCCATGATTAATTTTACAACGTTTTGTCATGTCTCTCCATTAGGCACCTCCCTGTTCAGAAGGCCAGCTTTCTAAAGCCATAGACTAAACTAAAAATGGCAGAGTTTTTTGTAGAATTGTACTGCAAAGTGTTCTTGTTCAGAGGAAATGCACCCAAGGTGAGATGAGCTAGGAAGCCCTGTTACAAGCCCTGTTTTCCTTGATTAATCACAACATCATTAGACATTTTTGAAAAGCAGGGTGAGGCTGGGTGTGACATAATCCTTTACAGCCCCCAGGCTGAGTGTGGAGTCCCTCCGCTTCCAGGAGCTTTGGGCTCTGTAAGACTCTGCAGCTCACAGCCCAGAAGCCAGGAGTCTAGACAGATTTCTGGGAGAAGCAGAAGCTTGGCTCTCACCTGAGGTCAGGAAAGAGTGAAGTTAGGGGAATTGTGATATTGTGGGGTGTGGGGTGTGCGCTGTGTCCTGGAGGCTTCAGCTCAAACACAGCTCATCCTCTGTCCCCCTAACTTTCTCACTCCCTCCTGGGTCATTCTCGGGCTTCCAAAGATAATGCATTGAAAGCGCTTAGAAATCATCTAATCCACCCCTACCCTTACAATTGAAGAGACTGAGGCTCAGGACACGGATGGGACTTCCCCAAGGCCACCTGCCAGGCCGACATGATTTCTGACTGATGCAGTGAACATGAGTTTGAGCAGACTCAGGGAGCTAGTGAAGGACGGGGAAGCCTGGTGTGCTGCAGTTCCATGGGGTCACAAGGAATCGGACATGACTGAGCGACTGAACAATAACCCATATTTGTCTCTAAAATGCTCGGCTCCATTGGAGGGCTGGAGAGCAGCCTTTTGGAAGCAGATACAGTGTCCTGGGATCCATAGTGTCCTCACTGTCCCCTCTCTGGCCATCATCTTCTTGGAGCCCTCGTTCCACCCCCAAGCTCTCCTCTCCTCTCTGGATGCTGAGCGAATGTGTGACCCTCTAGCCTTCACTCCATCTTCTGCAAAACAAAAAAATCCCACCCCCCTTTCCCATCTCTGCTTCCCAGACCATGCTCCCTACTGACACCCCAGGTCCATTGGAGGGGGAACCTCAGTGTTTATTGAGCCCTTGCTGAGAGCTTGTGAAGCTCTCAGTGTGAAGCAGGCAGGGTTTATGCCAAGGAGCTGGCAGCCTGCTGGCGACACGGGCAGAGGGTAGCAGGTATCCCCCCTGATGGCTCCTGACTCTTGGTTAGTGTGGGAAGGGACTCAACAAGGCTTTCTGAGGAAGCAGCATTGGAGCAGGACCTGAGGAAGTTGAAGGGAAATTGATCAGCTTTTGACCACCTGCTGGTGGATGCTAGGTGCCAGGGATACAGAGGGACGGAGGTCTTCCTAAACACATGGAGCTCGCTGAGTAGTGGTTGACACGTTGGGGCAGGTGTCTGTGGATGTGGAGCCTGGGTGCAGGAGGGGTGAGATGGGGCAGCCGGGAGAGGTGAGATTGGTTCAGGCTGTTGTTAGCGAAAGGTAGGGTCTGGCTGCTTGCTGCTCAAAAGCCAGTAAACAGGCTGGGTTGGTGGAAAGGAAAGTTTGCTTTATTTCGGATGCCAGCAACTGGGTGGGGGAGGGTGGACATCATTCAAAGGCCGACACCCCCCTCCCCCAACCACCACCACTGACAGTCACTGGGGAGGAGCTTTTGTAGATGGAGGGAGGGGGCTAGATGCAGAAATAGCACAGTCAGCTCTGACAGTCATCTTGAAACTGATCATCGGTGGTCTGACCAGCATCATCTTGGTTGTTTTGGGTGAGGTTAACCTTCAGTTCCATCTGCAGTGATTTTGGAGCCCAAAAAAATAAAGTCTGACACTGTTTCCACTGTTTCCGCATCTATTTCCCATGAAGTGATGGGACCAGATGCCATGATCTTAGTTTTCTGAATGTTGAGCTTTAAGCCAACTTTTTCACTCTCCTCTTTCACTTTCATCCTAGACAGCATATTAAAAAGCAGAGACATTACTTTGCCAACAAAGGTCTGTCTAGTCAAGGCTATGGTTTTTCCAGTGGTCATGTATAGATGTGAGAGTTGGACTGTGAAGAAAGCTGAGCGCCGAAGAATTGAAGCTTTTGAACTGTGGTGTTGGAGAAGACTCTTAAGAGTCCCTTGCATTGCAAGGAGATCCAACCGGTCCATCCTAAAGGAGACCAGTCCTGGGTGTTCATTGGAAGGAATGACGCTGAAGCTGAAACTCCAATATTTTGGCCACCTTATGCAAAGAGTTGACTCATTGGAAAAGACCCTGATGCTGGGAGGGATTGGGGGCAGGAGGAGAATGGGATGACAGAGGATGAGACGGCTGGATAGCATCAGTGACTTGATGGACATGAGTTTGAGTAAACTCCGGGAGTTGGTAATGGACAGGGAGGCCTGGTGTGCTGTGATTCATGGGGTGGCAAAGAGTCGGACATGACTGAGCGACTGAATTGAACTGAACTGAACCTTTAGTTCCCGGGTCGGTCTGTTTGCATTTCTTTGAGGCACATTCTCGGAATTGGGGCAGCTTGGGTCATGGCTATAGTTTTGTCATCGTGTAGTTAATTTCTCCACCTGGTGGGGTTTCGGTATCTGCAAGACAGCTCACAGGATATGGCTCAGAATATTATCTATAGACCTTGAGAAGAAACCAAAGATCTTTGAATATGCTTAATGAGCACATTATTATTATTTGGTCTCCTTTGACTGTTTCCCCTTATTTCTGCATATTCACACTTCTCTGATTATACTTATTCTTTGACTAAAGTTTTTCCACAGACAAAAGGCAGGCAGAGGACATGGGCAAGGGGTGGGGGCGGGGGGCAAGGACCCTAGTGTCCTGCTCCATTTCACTATGACCGCAGAACTGAGGACTCCTGGATGTCCTTCTATGGGCTTTGAGCAGACATTGAGTGTTTCTGAGCAAGGGTTGGAGCTGTGGTTTAGGTTAGGCTGTGTCTTTTGACTCGGCCAGTAGAATTCCCTTTGATGGAAGTAGGGCTGAGAGGTTGGGGTTTTAGCTGACAGTTCAGGGCTTCCGTGGTAGCTCAGAAGGTAAAGAATCTGCCTGCAATGCAGGAGACCTGGGTTTGATCCCTGGGTTGGGAAGATTCCCTTAGACAAGGGAGTGGTTACTCACTCCAGTATTCTGGCCTGGAGGATTCCATGGACGGAGGAGCTTGACAGGCTACAGCCCACAGGGTTGTAAAGAGTCAGAAGTGACTGAGCGACTTTCACTCACTCACTCAGGTGCCCCAGGGCTGTGTACTAGGAGCATCTTCCTAAAGGAAACCCCTACATTAAACCCCAGAGACCACACTTTGCAAGTTTCAAGTGGTTCTGGGTGGCACATGCTTCAAGATAAACCAGAACTTGTGCTTTGGAAATGTTTTTTAATGGGAAAAAAAAAATGGTATGTTCCCAAATGGCAGAGTTAGAATTTTGCTAATGGTTTTATTTTGGCTGAAATTTAGGTTGTTTTCAGTTTTTCTCTATTAAAATGTCGCAAAAAGCACTCTGGTGTGTAAATCTTTGTCTGCATCTTTGATTGGTTTTTTCATTGGATTAAAGTTTTGGAAGCAGAATTCCTAGGTCATTATATAAACACACTGAGTGGGGGGGCAACTCTTCAAATTGTTTTCCAAAATGTCTTGGAAGTTAAACTTCTACCAGAAGCATCCGGGGGGACCGTTTCAGAGCAGCTGCCCTCAGCGCCAGTGTGCTGTGTACGTGCGCTCAGATGCACAGTCTTGCCTGACTCTTTGCAACCCCATGGACTGTAACCTGCCAGGCTCCTCTGTCCATGGGATTTCCCAGGCAAGAATATTGGAGTAGGCTGCCATTTCCTTCTCCAGGGGATCTTCCTGACCCAGGGATCAAACCCCTGTCTCCAGCACTGGCAAGCAGACTCTTTACTGCTGAGCCGCTGGGGAAGCCCGAACAGCTGATGAACTGGAAAGGGGCATTGTGTTTTTGCTTTTTTGTGTGTTCAGTCGCATCTGACTCTTTTTGGCCGTATGGCTCCTGTAGCCCGCCAGGCTCCTCTGTTCATTACATTTTCTAGGCAAGAACACTAGAGTGGGTTGCCATTTCCCACTCCAAGGGATCTTCCCAACCCAGGGATTGAACCCAAGTCTCTTGCATT